AAACGACATTACAGTAGTTCAAGATACCGAGCCTATGAATGTTGACTTAGTGGTGGAACTCCCTGAGATTGACACTTTGATGTGGAAATAGGCGACATTACAGTAGTTCAAGATATCGAGTCTATGAATGTTGACTTAGTCGTGAAACTCCCCGAGATTGACACTTTGATGGGAAATTGACCTGATATATCATCTGATGTTGTCCTGTCTGGTGTTGATGCAATTTTAAAAGACAAGTCTCCCGTTGAGGATAATGAATCCGATATACTGGTCGAGGATGAGGAAGAAGTCTATGTTGAAGAAGACATCGACGATTTTGAGGATGATAGTGACATAAATGAGGGAGGTGACAATCAAGACATTAGCAGTGACGATGAATAGAAATTATGTACTGCAATTGTTGTTTTAATAATTATAATTATTCATATAACATAAGAATTATGTAAATAAGATAATAACGTTTATGATGACTTCTTAATAGGCAATCATGTCTGGCACAGTTGCTACACGTGTTGGCTCTTCAAGGGGAGCGTAGCCTCCCCCCAATCCTTATAGGTTGCCATCATACTGTGAGTTTGGTATGTTAGAACATAATTATAAATTTGTTAAATTAATTACATTAGTATTATATGATCACTAAATATATTTCATTCTACAGCACCCGGTGTCGCACCTCGACGACGTCGTAGAGGTCGAGGGAAGGCTAAGGGTCATGAAATCGCAGCCATTGTGGCAAAGGAAGGAAAGATAATCCCCATGTTTGACGAAGTGGAGGTACTTGGAAGGCAATTGGAAACTACGACACCTGGTTAGATAGTGCCATTGGAATCCATGTTAGGGATGTCTGTGAGCCTTTCCACGATGCCTGGAAGGAGGTGGACATCCAGCATAAGAGAGAGATTCAGCAGCCCCTGCTAGTATAAATTATTCAACTTCATTATTTTTTAATTTAACCTAACTTTCAATATAATAAAATCGTATAACATGTTTATATTGTATTACAGGAATGGTTCAATCTCGATTATGACCGCGACGATGGTATAATTAGGTCTGTGGTCGACAGGGAGGTTGCAAAATGTTATAAGGATTGGAAAAACGACATCCATGACTATTTCAAAGATCTTGGTGGTTCACAAAATGAGAGTACAATTAAGGCCCACCCTTCCAAAAACCTCAGAAATCCAGATCACTGGGGTCGTTGTTGCGATAGATTTATATATGATAAGTTTAAGGTAATTGAATCTCTTTTATATGTTATATTATTATATATATAAAGGTTAATTTTACTAACGCTGAATGTAATCATAAATAGAAAAAGAACAATTGACGTAGTAGTGTGTACAATGTATGAGGAGACTGTATTGTCCTTTTTTGTTGAAACTCAAAAGAACGGGTTAACGTAAATTTAAATTGCATGCTTTATGATAATCAGAATTTCTGAGTATTTGCATTTCCTAAGAAGCATGTATTAGAAATGAGAGCAAGAAAATAAGAAGGGTGAAAACGTATGACCAACAAAATAATTAATTCTAGGAAGCAACGAGGAAGAAATTAGTAATGAGAGGTAAATTCTTGAGCCTTGCGACTTGGTAAATTAAGAAAATCGAAATAGATGGATCAACTGGGACAATACAAAATGAGCCATTCATTTGGTAAATTAAAATGAAATCTTAACCATTCATTTGTTTTGTTATTCAAACCCGTACACGAGGATCCTAACGTTTTGAGAACCTCCACCTGGACGCCGACCAGCTACCAGTGGAGATCCACCGCCCCCTCCTCGAGTTGCTGTCGTTAGCCGAGCCTTTCGCATCACTGCCGCCCCCTCCTCAAGTCGCTGTCGTTAGCCGACAATGGCCATGGCTCTGAGATCAACAATGCCGGTGAAGATGATGGGGGAGGATTGTCAGGAACAACAATTTATTTTGCCTTTTGTTTGAGAAAATTAATTTGATTTTGTTTGGTTTGGGAAATATTAATTATGTTAGGTGAATTAATTTTTGGGTAAAGTTGTAATATTTAGTGGTTTGTTTTTTGGCCAAATTATGTTCGTTTAGAAAATTAATTACTTTTAGGGTGTTTTGAAAAATGTTGAAAGGTGTTTTTTGTGGAAATTTATTTGCGTAATTAGTTTAGTGTTTGTTGTAATTAGACTTTTTTAGTCCATGAAATAGATTAAAAAATGGTTTAGTTTTGTGATTAGTTTTAAGGAAAGAGTTTAGAGAAATTTAAAAAAAAAAAATCGTCAGTTTTTTTATTTTTTCTGTTTTTTTCAACAAAAAATAAAAGATACAATCAGTAAAGAAATAGGTTTTAAATTTTGTGATTATAATAAAGGGAAAAGGAAAAAAATCCTTTGTTTTTCTTTTATTTTATTTTTTTTAAAAAGAAAATATAATCAGGTGTAGTAAAGCTTACAATAAGGTATCGTTCTGTTTTTTTCAACAAAAAATAAAAGATACAATCAGTAAAGAAATAGGTTTTAAATTTTGTGATTATAATAAAGGGAAAAGGAAAAAAATCCTTTGTTTTTCTTTTATTTTATTTTTTTTAAAAAGAAAATATAATCAGGTGTAGTAAAGCTTACAATAAGGTATCGTTCTGTTTTTTTCAACAAAAAATAAAAGATACAATCAGTAAAGAAATAGGTTTTAAATTTTGTGATTATAATAAAGGGAAAAGGAAAAAAATCCTTTGTTTTTCTTTTATTTTATTTTTTTTAAAAAGAAAATATAATCAGGTGTAGTAAAGCTTACAATAAGGTATCGTTCTGTTTTTTTCAACAAAAAATAAAAGATACAATCAGTAAAGAAATAGGTTTTAAATTTTGTGATTATAATAAAGGGAAAAGGAAAAAAATCCTTTGTTTTTCTTTTATTTTATTTTTTTTAAAAAGAAAATATAATCAGGTGTAGTAAAGCTTACAATAAGGTATCGTTCAGTTCACTAATTTAAGTTTTTAATTTGAGATTAAATGTGACTTTATCTGAGAGTTTTTAACTACAGTAGAAAATATTAAAAGTAATTTTTTGTGAGAGTTTTTTTATAATAAAATTAAAATTAAAAACTCAAATTGGTAAAATAAAAGATGTCTAAGCTTTTTAAAACTCTATTAAAGTCCGTTTAGTACGCAGATTCGAGTTAAAATTTAATTTTTTATGAGAATTTTTAACTACAATAAAAAAATTAAATATAACTATTTTTAAATTTTTTTTACTATAATAAAACTTAAATTTTAAATTTAAATTAATAAAATAAAGTGGGAGTTAATGATTGAACATAGATTGTTAAATGGTCTCTTCGTGAGGATTGACCGTCAGTTAATGCATGAAAAATGAGCGAGAACATGTCGGGTCTGTTTGGTAGCATTTTCATTTTTGTTTCTCACATTTTTCGATGTAAAAAATTGAAAACGGAGATAAAAAACGTGTTTAGCAAAATTTGTATAAGAAAACAAAAACGAAAATGGCTTTGTCGTTTTCCGGAATTTTGAAAACGGAAAAAAGCCGTTTTCGTTTTCTTGTTTTCATTTTCGGTTTCTTCTTCTTCTTTCTTCATTCTTGATTTCAGTTTTTTTTTTCTTTTCTTCTCTCTCTTCTCCGGCCGAAGAAGAGGCGGGAGATTCGGCGAACACCACCGTCGCTCCTCTCCGACTGGCCCGCCGCCATCTTCTCCGACTGCCCGCC